TAGCTGGAACCAGCCACCTCAAACGACAGAGAGAAGACCGGAGACTTGATTGATTGGAGGAGAAAAGGCCACCGAATATAAGAAAAGAGGGAGGAGAAGACTTTTAGAAAGAGGGCAAACGTTTACAAAGGGAGACCGGAGAAATCAGAGAGAAGAGAACGGAGAAGAAGGAGACCGGAGAAATCAGAGAGAAGAGAACGGAAAAAAAGTGGAGGAAAGAAAATAGCCTAAGAAAAAATAAAAATGGAGAAAAGGAAAACGTCTTTAGGTTGTTTTTAGAAATATCTCACTCTTGGGGTGAAGACAAAAACGTTTTTATTTTTTATTTTTTATTTTTGTGCGGTGCTCTTCCAAACACAATTTACATCATTCTCATTAAAATAACATATTTTGGCTTATGGGGGGGTTTAATCTATAAGGATGAAAAAAGAATACAAATTACTGATTTAGTTGTAGGTTTTTTTTTTTTCCTTTGACTAATAAGAGTAGCGTAATAAGTAAAAAATAAAAAATAAAAAAGTGGATGGCCTTAGAAAATGTATAGAAAAAGAAGAATAGAGGTGACGATAGATCCACGTATTTTAAAAATAAACGCATATAGAAACTTGATACAAAGTACAAACGAAAATAACTGGCGGACTAATGTCAATAACCAACGAAAATATCTTTATCAGTTAAACTCAAATGGGGATAAAAAAGCACCCATCTTTATCTTCCTCCTTTGCTTTTTCCATTTCTATTTTTGACGACACGAAGAATAAACCTCATGAGAGAATTATCTTTATAAGTTCCTTCTTCACAGTATTTAGGGAAAGCCCCTTTTTTTTTTTTTTTTTTTTTAACTTAAAGCTTGATGTTTGGTCAAAAAAGCAATTGATGCAAGTTGCCAAATGTTTGTAAAGAAGAATGATCTGTTCATATCAGGTGTGACTCGCTTTGAATGAAATCATTCAAAGATGCAAATTTACTAAGGATAAAGTTTGTTTCTTAATTAGGCTAATGCTTACATTTTTAGTACTTCCTTGGTGAAATGTACATTGGTTCTTATGCTTCCCATAAATAACCAAAGGCTTTTGGTATAAATATCTTTTTTTTTTGGATTAATTATAAAAATTCTTCCTGAACTATATACTCTTTATAATGCTTTGTCTCTTAATCTTTGAAACATGACATATGTTCTTTCTAAACAATAAAATTTTAACAAATAAGCCTCATTCATTAAGTTTTTTTAACAGAAATTGACATTTAATTTATTATTTTGGGGTATTTTGGTAGTATATGGTTTAAAATTTAATTTGAATTTAAATTTAAAACTTTTAATTATGATACATTCATTATTGATTGAACGTAAATTGAAGTTTTTATGAATCTTTTTTGGTAGAATAAAAAAATTTATGAGGTTTTTTTAATATTTAAATTAATTTAAATTTAAATTAAATTTTAAATCATAAAATTACCAAAATAATTTTAGAAATAATAAATTAAATGTCAATTTCAATTAAAAACTTAACAGCGGGAATTTTTTTGTTAATATTTTATTGTTCAAGAGAAACAAATATTACTTTTTAAATAGTATGTGGTAAAGTATTATAAGACGTATAATTTAGAAGGAATTTTTATAATTATTATTTTTTAAGTCCTCTTAATAGCCCATAAATATTAATAATATTTATTTTGAGGATTGAAATTGATACATTGTACGGGCATAGCTGCCAAGTGGTAAGGATAGAGTTTTATGGTAAAAGATAAGGATTAAGTTTTGGTCCTGAAGGCCACTACCTAATAAGCTTATATTTATACATATAGGTTCAAATTCGACCTTATAATGGTTTCCATCAATGCACTAAATAGTCATCTCCAAAAGAGCTTTTTATTTGCTCTTTAAATAGTCCATCTCCAAAAGTAATTTTAGCTTTTTAATCTGATAGTTTCGTTATAAACAGAGGAAAATGATTAAAGCCAATTATTTTTTTAATACTATACTGAATCGGACTCGCGTCTTCTTCTACTCAAGCGCCACCTAACTTATTTCATGTCATTTGATTTGAAGGTGTTTGGCGTAAAGTCTTCCGATGAATAAGACAAAATTTTCAGAAACCAAACAAAATAAGGCTTATTACAGTGACACATTTTGTGTTTTATTAAAATTACGGTGATATTCCCTTAATCGAATCTAATAACAACACCCCTCGTTTAAAATCATGTTGACTTTTAGTGAGAGATGTCAAAACTGCCCATGTGTTAAATTTGCTTTCTTTTTTTTTTTTTTCTAGTTGATTTTTTTTTAATAAAAAAAGGTTATGATGTGTTATAATATTTTTAAAGAGTTAACATAAAATATATTAAAAAATGTTAATGTGTTTAATTTTTGTATTATATTTTTTATCATTAATGTTTTAAGTTTAATTTAGATTACGCTTTTGTTTCATTATTAGGATAAATTGGAAATTATTAGGATAAATTGGAATGTTTCATTATTAGAATAAAAACTTCCAATTTAATCTCTTCTTTTAATTAAACTAATTTTCATTATAATATTGTTGGTTCTAATAATGTATCAAATATTTAAATGACTTTTTAATTCACTAAGCTAATCCAGTAGATGGAGAACATTACTAAAACGAAGAATCTTTTAGAAAAAAAATAAAAAAATAATTCTTTTTATTATAGTGAAAATTAAGTTACAAATGCGTAAAAATTAACTAAACTCCTTTTTTGATGTTAAATAAGGGTAAAAATGTCATTTCAAACATTATGTATAACTTAGAAACATTTTTTGGTAAATGAAACGGCATTTTTTTTTGACTTTTTAAAAAAATATAATGATTAAGATTGACAGTCAACTAACGGAGGGAGTGTCTGTGTAATTTTTATGAAAAATTAAAGAATATTGACGTGATTAATTTTAGTTAAGCGAGTGTCTCTGTTATTTTTATAAAACACAGAGAATATCAATGTAATAAGCTAAACAAAAAAAAAAAAAAAAAAAAAAAACGGGGGAAGGGGTGAAGTAAATGAGAAAACGATGACAAATGACAGCAAGAAGTGAGAAGGTTATTTTCCCGTTTTCCACCTACCTTCATATTCCAAAGCCACACCTTTCCAGTCCAGTCCTCAGCCCCAATGGCGATCCAATTAATGATTTTTATAACCCCTTTATATTCTTGGCCTTATTCTATTTGGACCAGTGTTTGCTTTTTATTTATTCGCCTTAAAAACATGAGTCATAATTGATTTCCATGCCTTCCATTTACAACTGTTTGAATACGAAGAAAATGTTGCTTTCAAGGGAAAAAAGAATTGATGGAAATACTAGTCAATAATTTTAATACATGTAGGCATTTTCTTTTGAAGCATTACTTGCGTGTATATCTATGTATGATCGTTTTGAAAATTCCAACTTCCTTTGAAGTTTTGGACAATATCATACGTACCAAGTTGTACAATAAAAATTTGAAGTAGAGGATGTCGTATAATAACATAGTAGAATAATGATGTTTTGCATTAGCACACATGAGTTTTTTTAATTAATGTGGTGAAAATTTTTCTGGTGTTCTTTATTTCTTAAAAATACTAGTGTTACATATTTAGCAGTCGTTAAATCTGTATTACTTTTTCAATTTGATTTGGTTAGATTTAATACAGATTTAACGGCTGATAAATAAATAACACCAATATTCTTAACAAAAAGAACACCAGAGAAAATATAAAATGTGATCACTCATTAATTTAGTATTGTAGTTTGTCTTATAATAAAAAGCACAATCTAACTCTTTATAACTCTTTGTAAGCACAGTCTAATAGTAAATTCACACTTAACTACACCTCAAGACGTAAAGTTTAAATTCCTAAAAATTGAATATTACCTATAATTTTATAGGACACCCTCGTTCAATACGAGCTAGGCAAAGTTGGGACTTGGGAATTTGGAATCATAGTATCTAATTATAGGCAGATATCAAGCCAGAAATAAAAAGAGAAACCAAATTATTCTACTCTGTTAATTTATACCAATTGATCATAGGCATGCATATTATACGTGGAATGCAAGAAAAGTACCACTTATACGGACAAAAATTGGCAAACAAATGAACAATTAACGCAGAATATTAGGCACAAAAATGCATAACATTAAGTAGGCACCAGTGATTAAGATGTTCTTGTAACTAATAAGTTAATTAATGCCGAAAGAATTTGAAGCGTCTAAAATACAATGTATATATATATATATATATTAGGCACAATATATATATGTATAACAACTAAAATACAAAATACTTCAAACTTGTTTGACAAGCAAATAATTGACGACCAAAAAATAGTGGGCCATTATCGGAAAAATTCAAAAATAAATAAAAATCTCGGATTAAATGAAATCTTCTCACCAAGTCAAAGCCACTGGACTGACACGACTGTGACGGGAATGATATTTTTTCCGGCAACGTGTGCAACAGACCTGGTCTAGGCCTAGGGTCACGTCTCACGTGTCCTAAACTCAAGAAAAGGAAAAACGCTACCCTGACATGCCGTTGAGGAAAAGCCCCCTCACAGTCTCACCCCAACTCCAGCGCGTGTACCGTGAGATTGGGCGGAGCGTGGACGCCTCACCAACTTTCTTGGACGCCAAGCTTCATCTCAGGACCACGCACCCTTTGTCCGCTCGCCACGTGTCATATCCCACCGCCTTAATACTTATGCGGCGAGTCGTAAGGGATCTCCGGTTGTCTCCGGAATCTCCGGCTGTAACAATCAATCTTATATTAACACACGCAAAAAAAAAAAAGAAAAAAAAGAAAAATTCTTAATAAATTAAATAAAAATTAAAAAAAAAGGAAAAAGAAAAAGTTCGGACTGGTGGAGCCTACTAGGATTCATTCATCACTCTCTCATATAAAACGGCATTCTCTTCATTCCTGGCATTTTCTGTAACTCAAAACAAAAAAAAATTTTAGCTTTATTTCTCTCTCTTTTTTAACACTTTTGTTTTCTGGTCTCTCATTTTTGGTCCTTTCTTCTTCTTCGATGATCAAAATATTCAGTATAGTCAGCAAATTTCTGGTTTTGGTTAAGCAAAAATGGGTTCGGTAAAGCTAACAGAGCACCGTACAGTGACGAGAAAACTCGTGAAATCTTCTTCTTCTTCCGCTTCTGCTTCGAAGTTTTTCACGAGAGTTGTACGGATTTCTGTGACGGACGAGGACGCGACGGACTCGTCGAGCGGAGAAGAGGAAGAGGAGAGTTCGACAATGAGGGTGGTGAAGCGGCACGTGAACGAGGTGAGGATCGAGGAGTTCTACTCGGAAGCTTCTAGAAATTCAAGGCCGGAGATCGTCAGGAACGGAAGGAAGACGGCGGCGGTGAGGTGTTCCAGCGAGGAGTATTTTCCAAAGGGGAGGAAGTTTCGCGGAGTTCGGCGGCGGCCGTGGGGAAGGTGGGCGGCGGAGATCAGGGATCCGCTCCGGCGGACGAGGATTTGGCTTGGGACTTACGATACGGCGGAGGAGGCCGCCATGGTTTACGACAAGGCCGCGATTCGGATCAGAGGACCCGACGCCCTTACCAATTTCGGATCATCCTGCTCCGATTACTCCTCTGATGACGCCGTTTTGGTCTCCGACGAGTTTTCGGAGTCGTCGCAGGCTGTGTGCTCGCCGACCTCCGTTCTTAGATTTCGGCCTCTGGAGTCAAAGCCTGGTCAACTGGAGAGTGGAACTACTAGTGGAGAGAAATGGAATTTGGCGGAGGATTTTCTGCTTTTGGATTCGGATTTCTTGGGAGATTGTTTGTACAAGGAGTCTCCACCGCCGCTGTTCGCCGTCGACGAGGTCGGCGTGCCGGCTGCGATTCCTGAGGAGGAATACGGCGACGTTTTGGTGGACTTGGACGGGGATTTCGGGTCGTGTAAATGGGACGTCGATCATTACTTTCAAGACCCATTGGGCATTGAAGAATTATCATGAGCTCAAAAGATTGATTGATCTGAATGACTTTGGTGGTAGATTCCGAGTGGAGTTTTGATACAATATTTAGTGTGCATGGTGCTTAATTAATTTATCATTTATGATTGTATTATGTTTTTCTCTCTCTATGTATATTGAAAAAAAAAAAAGATTAAGTAAATTATGCAAAAAGAAAAAAAAATGTAAATTCTCTAGTGGACCTTTGGGGTTCTCGTTTATTGTTGAAAATTTACTCCCTTTTGCTAATTACTTCTCTCCATCTTTTTTATAAAAGACATTTGGGAGGAAATTTGATCAGCATTTGCTAATTAATAATTATGCCAATTTAATATGATGTGTATAAACTAACTTATGTACTATAAAGTGTTTTTTTTTTCCTCCTAAATAAAAAAGGGATTATTGATGTCGTCTCGCATTCACTTTTGTCGTCGCTTTAAAAATCTTAGAACTTCATAATCTAATTTTGTTTGAATAATGGACACAATTTTTACTTATGCCATTATAAATAGAGTGTCGCACCACACATAGATGTAGCATGGGTCTTAAAGTATAAGGATTTGTTTAATTCACGTCTTTAGCGTAAATTTTATGTAAGAACTATTGGTAAAAAAAATACTATAATAAAATTAAAATTATAAGTTTAAATATATTTGCTAAAGATGTGAGATATTTATGTCTGATGTGTTGTGATATATCAATACAGGGGCTGTTGGCCTCTATGGTGTGTTGGTAGGCGACTGAAAAGTCTGCCAAAGCAGCCTATTAAAGTCGGTCTCCCATGTTCAACGGTGCACCACCTTAGGCTCTTGGGAGCCGCACGATATTCTTGTGGTTTTTCAAGCCATTCATTTTGAAGGTTAAAAAAAATAAAAAAAATAAGGAATGAGGAAATGCTCAATTAGAGTTTTTAATTCGAGTTAAGATGTGACTTTATATGAGAATTTTTTACTGTAATAAAAAAGTTAGATGTGACTGTTTCTAAGAACTTTTTACTGTAATAAAATTCGAATCGGTGAAATGAACGGGTTATATTTATTTACATAACCCAAGTCATGATTTGCACAACTTAAGTCATTATTGGAGTTGTGTATATGAAACAAAAATACTGTAATAAAAAAGTTGAATTTAAATTTATAAGAGAAAATACTATAGCAATATAACTTAAATCATAAAATAAACAAGACCTACACATGTCTTATCATCATGCCACCAAAATTTGACTTTGAACTGATGCCTCAACTTTCTTGCCTATCTCCATTGATATACATGCATTGGTTTGTATAGCTTTCCTGATATTTTAATTGTTAGCGTTATATTCAAGCGATGAAATGCATTTTGGGTCCATTTAAAAAAAAAAAAAAAATTGAATAGGCATCTTTACTAAAAACGGATGTTAATAATGATGAGGCATTATGCAATATGGGAAACGCTATCACACCTGGCCAAGATCTCACACGAGAGTGGGAAAGAGAGGCAGACATTGCCACATGCCTCAACTATATGCTGCCTATATATGATTAGAACATTGACATTGCTCCCACTGGCCTCCCGTTCTTGGTAAGGTGTTAAAATAAAGTTGACACAAGTTTTTTTAGCTCTAGATATAGCATAATATGGAGCAATGTGTTGGCAGCATGCTAGTTTTTCACATGAATAACATGAGATAAATAAATAACGAATGCATTTGTCACATCAAAATATTAATCAACATACTAATGTGTCGGTCGAATGCTACAAGCTGTCTATAACTAGTTATGATATCAAAGTTCAAACCAACTCGTAGTAATGCAGTTTGAGTTTTTTCACAATTCATAATAAAATTGGTATGCTCTTAACTATTAACTAGTGGGCGCTTTATGCATGCTAGTATGGTTTTCTGATGGAATCTCAATTTCTTAAAAGTTTAATTTTAATTAGTATCTTGCTCCTAAGCTTCAGGTGCTTATTTGAACCGATTTTTTTTAATTAAATAAGAGAATTTCTCTGGTGTTCTTTTGTTTTTGTGAACGTTGGTGTTCTATGCTCATCAACCGTCGGATTTGTATTATTTTTTCAATTTGATATGACTTTTGATCAGATTAATTAATACAGATTCGATGACTAATAAGCAGAGAAAAATAAAGCTCGTGTCTATTTTATAACATTTACAAATATTTTTGTCATGTCCTACCAACTAATGATTTCTCATACCTAGTATATGATCACCATATGTGAAAAATACCACACCAGAACAAAAACTAGGGACATTGACCCAGCGAGTCTTGGTCGAGTTCCAACAAGAGGATTTTTATTTTTATTTTTTATTTTAATGGTAACTCTTCGCTCTGCTCCATACGCCAAGAAATTAATCAGAACTAAAGTCTACACGGAAGAAACAAGCATATTTCTTGGAAGCGCATAAATGGACTATGGTAAGTATATATGCTAAGCTAGGGAAGGAGAGTTCTTAGGGCTTTTTTTTTTTTTTTTTTTTTTTTTTTTTTTATTAATTTCCCCTCTAGACTATACCCCTTATAACACTTGACCTTTCAATCTTTGAAACATAACATCTGTTTCTCCTTAATAATAAAATATTAACAAAATGCCCTATCCGTTTGTTTTTTAACAGAAATTGACATTTAATATGTTATTTTAGGTATTTTAGTAGCTCTATAGTTTAAAATTTAGTTTAAATTTAAAACGAATTTAAATTTAACTTTTTAATTATGATACATTCATTATTGATCAAATGTAAGTTAAAAAGTTTATAAATTTTTTTTTGGTAAAATAAAAAAATTATGAAGTTTTTTTAATATTTAAATTAGTTTAAATACAAATTAAAATTTAAACCGTAGAATTTCTAAAATACATTCAAAATAATAAATCAAATGTCAATTTTAATTAAAAAATCTAAATGATGGAATTTTTTATTTAATATTTTACTGTTCATGAGGAATGGATCTTACATTTTAAAAATCAGAGATAAAATGTTACAAAAAGTATAATTAAAGGAGAATTTTTGTAATTGATTTTTTTTTCTCCCTTGTTTTAAGGCTATAAACTCCAAGAAATTTTCAGCTTTGAGCTTTTTCCATGTGACAATTTTTCCGGTGTTTTTGATATTAATTTTCCGGCTATATACATGACCCCTAAAAGGGTCTGTGTTGGGTGTCCTTTATGTCGGTCAAATTTCCACAAATGGGTTGGTGGTAGGCTTTTTGTAAACAGTATAAGTGTACTGTCCGCTCAGTCTCCGGGGCAAAAAAAGAAGAAAAAAAAAAAAGAAAAGGTAAAGGTGACAGATCAATGGAGGTTTCGTTATTCCAATCAATATCAGACCCACAGGCCACAACCAAAAGCCTGTACATGCTACGCACAAATGGAAAGAGGATCTCCATTCTCTAAGATCATAAAAATCCTCTTGCAAGCCTGTAATGGGACCCTTCCTTACATCTTTTTGTCCAATGGCAATCCATATTTTTATTTCCTTTTTGTTTTGTTTTTTTGTTTTTTTTTTTTGCATCCTGGGAATGCTTTAGCAACGTATAAAATTTAAACTCTTTTTTCTTTTTTCGCCATCTCACCCTCATCTTTTTTGTCATCTTGACTCAGCAATGGAATCAAAAGCAAATTTCTCGACAAATAAATTTAGGTATCGTTCATTTTACCGATTTAAGTTTTCAATTTTAAGTTTCTACAGTAAAAAATTTTTAGAAAATATTACATTTAACTTTTTCTGTTACAGTGAAAAGCTCTAAAAAAATATCATATCTCAACTCGAATTGAAAACTTAAATTCGCCGAGTGAATGAGACTTTAGTTTTCACTTATACCACTACACGACTACACGCTCAATGTAGCATAACAATTAACATATTGGTTGGGAAGGAAATTTTAAAGTAAGACTGTAAAGTACCAATTAAACTTTAAATATGTGACTTGATAGGATAAGAAGAAAAAACATTGTTACTGCTGCACTAATTCATTAGAAGTAAATTTCAAGCTTGCTAATAATGTATATACCACTTTTTTTTTTCTTTTTGTTTTTTTTATACTGATCACCCACTAAAAATATTACATAAACATAAGACCACGTTGTATTTATTTTTACTCACTACTCATGTGATGCGATGATATATATCATGAGTATAACGTCAAATTCAAATATATATACCTACGTACAGGAAAAAAGGGAAGACAAAAAAATCTGCCTCATGTTTAGTTATTGTTTTTTTTTTTCTTGATAAAAAAGAGAAAAATGATATTGGTCAGTTTGGATATCTATATGAAGCAGAGATAAACTTTAAAATTCATGCTTTCATCAACCAGCATTTTAAGAGTCCAAAATCATTTCAATCTAAACCATATTCGTGTTATGCCGATAAAATACACAATTTCAGTGTCACTGTATATAATAGAAAAAAACTTGAATGAGTGAGCCAACTTGAATGAGTTTTCTAGCTCAAGTTCGAGTTCGTTCCTCAAGTACTCAAATTCGTGTTCGAGTTAATACTCAAATCAGCGGCCTTTTTCCAAGTTCTACCTGCTATTAATTTTTTCCCCCTATTTAAATAATAAATTCCAAACAAAATAATTACATCCCATGCACTTTTTACTATTCATAACTCAAGTCTTGACTCTTGATATACTAAACACATACTCAAATTATATTCTCAATTCAACATTAACTCAAATGTGCACGTCTAAACACAAACTCAATTCATAACTCAAGTCTTAATATACTAAACACATACTCAAATTATATTCTCAATTCAACATTAACTCAAATGTGCACGTCTAAACACAAATTCAAATTATAACTTCAACTTAAATTATAACTCAAATTTAATTCAAAATTTATACTTAAATTATCATAACTTAAAATGCAACTGTACAAGCATATTACTAACATTGTTCTTGTCATTTTACCATATTTGACCATAGGAATTAGGAGCAGACATAAAAAATAAAAGAATTTGGGTTTGTAATTCCTTGGGTGTGGCTCCATGACAGCTCTCCATCTCAATAATGCAAGTTCATAGCAATCTAGGAAGCTCTTGCTCCTTGGTTGGTCGGTTCATAGTTGTCAAGTGTTA